TTTTGAACGTTTGTTTCTCTGCAGAAATCTACTGATGGGAGTGGTTCATGTTGTTCAAATCAGTGGCATTCTTATGCTAACATGTGACTTTCTGGGGAGCAGGTAAAGCTAAGATGTGGTAAAAGATAAACTAAGGCACGTTAAAATTTTCAAGAGTGTTATCTGTGCATACATCCATTTAAACTTGGGCAGCACCAAACTGACAATGATTAGGAACATTCCACCAATGGAAGCTTAGAGGGAAGTTTTTATAGAAAAGACAAGGACAACAAGGGAAACAAGCAAGGACATTATTTGATTTGCTATAGATTACACGGTTACCTTGTTTGGCCATTTGTGATTGATTGTTCTTAAATTCCTCAGATTTGAGCTCATTGACTCTGGCTTAGGTTTGGTTTGCATGCATAGGTAACCAAGACATTAGAATTACCCCGGTCTAATACTGCCTCATTTAATCACTTTAAGTTTTCCCAGGTGGTGCTAGTGGTAAAGAACCTGCCTGCCAACACAGGANCATTGACTCTGGCTTAGGTTTGGTTTGCATGCATAGGTAACCAAGACATTAGAATTACCCCGGTCTAATACTGCCTCATTTAATCACTTTAAGTTTTCCCAGGTGGTGCTAGTGGTAAAGAACCTGCCTGCCAACACAGGAGACATAAAAGATGAGGGTTTGATCCCTGGGTCAGGAAGATCTATCCTCTGGAGGAGGAAATGGCAACCCACTCCTGTATTCTTCCCTGGAGAATCCCATGGACAGAAGAGCCTGGAGGGCTACAGTTCATAGAGTCACACAGAGTTGGACATGACTGAAGTGACTTAGCACTGCAAAGTCACTTTAACAGATGTATTCATTGCAAGTTTGAAAATAGAATGGGGGTGAATCTTTGGTTGGGTGCATTGTGTGGCTTTCAAGTAAACTTAATTTCAGCCCTGTCCTAGTCTATTTTATAACCTTTGGGGGCAAGATATGAACTCCGCTCTCACTGGTCTCAGAGAGGGTTAAGTATCAGGGAAGAGGACAAGAGAGTGAGGAATGGGATTTTCCTCTAACCCAGGGCCTGGGTTGATTTGAGTATTTTCTGTTAAGCCCAGTGGTTGAGAGGGCACTAAGAAGGGGCAAGTAGGGCTCTAAGGAGCAGGGAAGAGGAACTCTCAGCAGCTCCTACACTAGGAAAGCTTCCCTTCTTGATCCTGAGACCACAATCTCCATTGTCCTCTCCAAGCAAAGGAACCCTCAAGTGATTGGCTAGATTATGGAACACAGTCTCTGGGTTCTAACTGGTCAGATTCACTAATAGGTGAGGTTACTCTGCTACACAAGTTATTGGCTTGGAGGCCTCTTTAAGTTTTTCCTACCATGGTACTGGATGGACAAGCTGAGGCAGGGCATGTCACTGCATAAACTGGACCATCCTGCTTTTCTCTTTACTTTCTTCCTCTTACCAGCATGCTGCATCTTGCATCAAGAACCTTTGACTCAGTGGCCAACAGGTGTTAAGATCTGAATTAAGAGACAATCAACAATTCCTCTTTGAGCCTTATATTTGAGTTCCATCCCAACTTCATTAGAGACCTAGTACTAAGGTTTATGTCACCAGCTAATAAAATTTATGTCACCAACTAATAAAATAGTGCCTTAATTTTTGACTTTTTTTTTTTTTGCTGAATGTCTCCCTCAGGAATCTCATAAATAAGAGTCATTTCTGATAGTACTAGATTTGTAAATTTGGGGGAATCTTAGCTATAAGAATGACCTATTATCCTGGTTTGCCTGTGTCTGAGGAGTTTCCTGGGATGCAGCACTTCTAGTACTAAAACCAAGAAAGTTTCTGACAAGCTAAGATGCATTGATCACTCTAGCTGAAATTCCATCTTTTTTCCCCCAAACTTTATTAGACCTTTACTTCAGGAGAGCAAGATGTAAAGGAAGGAAAAGTGCTTATCAAATAGTCAATTATCAACTAGGAGGCTATGCATAACAACACAAAATATTTTATGTTATCTAATATATAATTCTTTTATATATGTTACAACATGAAAAAATAAAAAGCACAAAAATTTGAATATAAATGTTTAGCTATAACACATCAACATTTGTTTGTCTGGTTTCTTTTTTTTGTTTGTTTTGGTCTCAAGCAAGATTTCCTCGAATTTTATAGCAAGTTTTCCTCACTCTCTTGAGTCACAGCTGTGGATTACAGCTGTGAAATGCCATCTTAATGCCATTAAACCCAACCTGTAAATTTAATTCCTACAGGCTGTGAAAACTTGGATATATTATCAACCCTCTCTGAGCCTTAAGCACTTCACATATAGGTTTTCTATAAATATTATATTAAACTAAATTAAATTTCCCAACATATTTCCTGGTTCATATGTGCCTGCATGCCAAGTTGTTTCAGTCATGTCTGACTCTTTGCAACCCTTTGGACTGTAACCAACCAGGCTCCTCTGTCCATGGGATTCTCCAGGCAAGAATACTAGAATATGTTGCCAGGCCCTCCTCCAGGGGATCTTCTCAACCCAGAGACTGAACCCGCATCTCTTACATCTCCTGCATTGGCAGGATGGTTCTTTACCACTAGCAACACCTGGGAAGCTCTTCCTGGTTCATGAATATGTGTGTGAAAGTTGCTCAGCCATGTGGACTCTTTGCGACCCCATAGACTATAGCCTGCCAGGCTCCTCTATCCATGGAATTCTCCAGGCAAGAATACTGGAGTGGGTAGCCGTTCCCTTCCCCAGGAGATCTTCCCAACCCAGGGTTCAAACCCAGGTCTCCCACATTGCAGGCAGATTCTTTTCAGTCTGAGCCACCAGGGAAGCCAGCCAGGTTCATAGTAGATACCAAATTAATATGTGTTCCTATTTCATTTTCTTATTTTTCTTGGCACAACACAATATAGGAGGAATTGAAATACTTTTCTGAATTTAAGAATTGGAAATGATTCCTAAGTCCACTTTTCAGTTTAATGAAAAGAAATTTTCCTAATGTTATTAGACAATGGAATAGTGAATGCATTCCATTACTGGAACAAACCAGGCGCCACATATTCAAGTGACTGTGGAGGCCAAGCAGGGAACATAAAAATGAGTGAAATAGGATGAATGGGACTGTGGCGAACAGGCACCCCTCAGCCCAGATTGTGGCCACATGAGAAGGAGAATCCAGTGTGATAGATCCTACCAGTTTTTTTCTAGAGAAACTATGTGTTTGACTTTCTTTACGTGAAACATACCTTTTTTCATATGTTGACATCAAGTTTAGGATTTTCTGAAACAGTGTGTTAGCCAATCAAAACACTCCATAAGCCTTTAATCCTCTCACTGAGTTGCTTCATTGAGTAAGAGAGTGAAACTGGATGTTGTAATAAGACAACCAAAGAAAGTTAATTCTGCCCAGATGGAATAATCATCATTATTTAAAGTAGCCAGAGCAATTAAATGATGACAGAAAAGAAAAAAAAAGTTACGAAATTGTCAAGTTTTGAATTTGGGTATCTTGTAAATCTAACAACTCAAGGCTAACTCTCTGGGTTTGCAAAATTGTTAAGGTTGAACCTGCTAGCAAAGCTTGGTATAATGCTTGCAAGCATTATCTGACAGATTTCAAAACAGTTTGAATATTAGTCATCACAGATATGTCTGCCAAAAAGGGTAGTGTAAAACATCTGCAGCCCACATAAATACCCCCTGCTGAGTTAAACTCAGGAAATCAGCTTCAAACGTTGCAAGAGGCAAAGAAGCTGAAATGGCAGAATTTTCTACTAAGTGGTTGATAGACTTTCTCTGTGAGTAAAACTGTTGGGAAGGAACCAGTGAGCTTTCAATATATCCTGTGTTTGACCTTTGGCTTTTGGTGACAAGATATTCTAAAGCTCTACTTGGACTTATCCTACTCAGTGAATCACTTGCACGGTATAAACTGAATACTAATTCTGTTGAGTCAGGGGATGTTAGATGACTATTAAACCCCTGAGTTACAATAATGTTATGAAATGATGAAAAATCTCACTTAACTACATTTAATTGTACCATAGAACCAATAAGACAAACATATCATCACAATTATTAAGAAAACAGCAGAGCCTAGAGTCTTGAACTTTTTCAAAAAGCATAAAATTTTAATTCAAACAAAACTAACCTGCCAAATGCAAGATGATCTGAAGAATCATCACTGTCTGTGTCCTGTAATTCTGGAATCTTCAGTATTGGTGGCAGACTGTTCCTCAGTGAGCCACATTGTTTTGCCATAAGACAGAGGAGGTTTGTGATTTGTGGCAGATTCTGTGAGTCCTGAATGTCTGGATCAGGAATTTTATAAAGAGAAATCCACTAATGTGGCATTACTGGGAATGGCTGCACGGTTTCTTCCTTCAAAGATATGTTTCTTTTCTTTTTTTGACTCTATACATAAAAACAGCACAGCTGTAAAGAGGAGGACAAAATTCTTTTTGTCTTATGTTTTCATTTATTCTTGTTAAAAGAAAAACAACTGATTCAGAGTTTAAATACTGTTCTTGTGACTACCAGTTATATAAAACCAAACACAGAGAGAGTCATATACAAAATTATTTTCTTCTTCTCAATTAAAAAGAAAAAAATCCTTGGAAATCATTTTCAAGCAGTCCCCATCACATTGCTAGCTTTAGTTGGAAAGGAAAAACCTTGCATATGAATGAGGTTATGATTCAGGAATTGGCTTTTTGAACTTAGAAAATGTTGTTGATGTAAGATGATCTGTTTTATTATTAATCTACAATTCACCAGTTATGCAGCTTAAGAAGACTTGCTAAACGATAAGATCATGATTCAAGATCTCAGAACGACTGCTAGCAGGTTTGTCCAATATGAAAGTTAATTTCATGGAATGAATCACTTAAAGACAGTAAGAGTCGATGATGAAACCACTCTCTGGAGTTTGAAAAGAGACGGGGCTGCTTTAAGAGAGAAACAGGAAGTTGTAACTAGAAGCCATCTGAATACTAAGCCAAGGCAGAATGCTCATGAAGTAGCAACTTAAGTGGCTGTGTTTATCCTGAAATCCTCAGGCAGCCAGACCGTCTTAGGCAAATTTTGATAAAATAGTCCTTGTCCAGGTTTTTATCTAAGGAATCCCGAGAAGATTGAAGAATGGAGAGAAAGCAAAGATTCATGTCAGAGAAGGATGAATATCAGTTTCAACATCAGGGAGCGGTGGAGCTGCTTGTCTTCAATTTTTTGCTCATCCTTACCATTTTGACAATCTGGCTATTTAAAAATCATCGATTTCGCTTCTTGCATGAAACCGGGGGAGCGATGGTGTACGGTGAGTGCAGAAATTGTCGGATTGATGCGAAACTTGTTGCTTGGGCGTAATTACAGACGTGCTCAGATGGCAAAGTACCAAAAGTGGAGAAAATGTGCTGATTGAAATGTCATTAGCTTGATGAAAGGTGCTGCAGCATAATGAATGCTCATCTCTTTCCAGATAAGCTGCTGAAATTTGCCTTGTCACAAAAGTAAATGCCACAGTCATGTTCTCATGAGGCACATAATGCGAGTCTGTTGACAGATGTGGGTCCATTGTCATGTGGGAAGTCAAACCGGGCTAGTTGTTTGTTTTTGTAATGATAGATATTGGGAAGTGATGGCTCTGCAGTCACAAAAAGCAAGCAGCCTTCTCTCTCTGGAGGGGCTGATGAGCATTATAAAGTTCTAGAAATAACAGCACTTAGACATGTATTGAGAAAACCTTCTTAGCACCAAGTTTCAAGAAGAAAACTTGCAGAAATACCTATTCCTCCCCCCCTATTGAAGCAATTTTGTTCAAATCTACTTAAATTATATGAGTGTGTTTTATTTTCTTATAATACCAACAGTTTCTTTATGCAGTGCTCTTCATTTCTTAGCCTGATTTCATACTTTTAATTAACAATTATTAGTATTATTTGCTAAGTATCTTCTTTTTTGGAGGTACGGGCAAGGTGTGAAAAAAACATTTAACCTTTAAACTCCCGAGGTATTGCTCTTTCTGTGCAATTTACCATATCATTCCTTTCAGAAAGTTTATTAAAACGTGACAGAGATTATCCAGTCTGTATTCTCATCTTTTAAAGTAAAGTGTAAGACACTGGTAGTTTTAAAACTGATTTGGTTTATGAAATAGTTTTCTGTACCACTCTTATCTCTGCCTGATAATGGATAGGAAATTTGAACACAATGGAAATGGCTGCGATATTGTTATAATTCATAAAAGAATATACTTTTATATTTCACTTTCCTTATTTTGGAAGTTCTGAAGCCTTTTACACTCCTGAGTTTCAGGGAACAGGATCAGGGCACATTTTATATGCTAACCACGTGATGTCCTGATAATAACAGTATACAGTCATGATTTGAGACCATGAGAAACCCTATGCCTTAACTGGATCCAACTGTGAGATATTTGAGCTAAGTAGTTTTAGGCTAAGCAGAATAATTTCTTTCAGGAGACTGATGTGCTGGTCCATTCAGAGAACAGTTAAGTTCTTTCCATCGAGGGTCTTAAAGCACACACAAACTCTCATTTGACGAGAAAAAACTCACAATCAGGTTTAAGGGAAATAGTCAAAGTGATACCACCAGATGTAAAGCCCTGGGTGCCAGTCACTGCCCTCCTCCATCATCACTGGACCAGGCTTTCTCCTGACTTGTCTAATAAATAATCAATGAGGATGTGGGATGTAATCTTAGAAGTTAGAAACAGTGTAATTCCTAGCATTAAATTATAGGGCAATTTATAGTTTAGAAAAACAGCACAGGTTTTAAAATAACAAACCTTTATTAGAGGGAAGGATTTCTTCACAGTCCTGAATTTGATTGACCATGACTCATTTACCAATTAAACTTAATCTATGATGGAGATACTGTTTTGTAAAAGTTTTGATGAAATTTGGTGACCTATTAAAATTCAACATACTTTGTACTCACAACACATAAATGTAACTTTTACTTTGGAACATGAAAATTCCCAGGTTAACTTTAATACTTAAACAACTCCATGAAGTACTTTTAAGTTATGGTTGAAGTCAGAAAATATTAGCACATTTACTGCGTAGCACAGGGAGCTATGTTCAATATCTTTTAAAATGCTATCCTGGAAAAGAATTGAAAAAAGGAGTATATATACAAATCACTTTGCTGTACACTTGAAACTACCAATATTTCAAATCAGATGTAGTTTAATAAAAAGAATAATTAGCACATTGAACATTAGCTGAGATAGCATTTCTCTTAATTGCTATTCCTAAGGCAGTTTAAGCTTAAGGTTTGTGTGGGATTAAGTTGAGCTGTCTGATTTCTGTCCTTCTTCTATAAATTTTTTTATGCAAAAGTTATTGAAAGCAGGTTCTGAAACAGTGCAATGTATAAGGATTATAAAAATTATGGAGACATGCACATATATGTATAACTATCCCATTACTAGAAATTTTAGTATCCTTGAGTTATCTTGAACTGTATAAATCAATAAAAAGACTTTTATTTTAGTGTTGCTTAATTTTTTTGTTGTTGACCTAGAATTATAATTGTTGGAATTTACGGAAATCTTAGAGGTTATTTTCTCTAGCTGCCTCATTATAGAGGAAGCTAAATCTCAAAGAAGTGAACTTCCCCAAACTGAGTAGCCCCTCATAACAGCATCCTTGTGCTTTTACTTACTCAAAAGAGCTTTCACTGATATCCCTGAAAATAGTCCATATGGATAGCATTGGTGATATCTCAGTGTTCTTTTTCAGTGATGATATAAATGTTATATGTAAAATAATTCATAGGCAGTTTCTCTCAATGATGTAATAAAATCATTTGAATCTACAACAGAGAAACAAGATGGGATATTCTGACAAACTTTTTTAAATGGTAAGGGGAAAGGAGATACCAAGTGAATGAATCTCCCAGTAGCTACAAATGAATTTGAACTTCATTTATTGGGAAGAAGTCAGAGATTGTAAGTTCAGTATCTTCATCTCATAGATTAGGAAATGAAGACTTAGAGATGTGAAAGTCATGAAACTAGCTGATACACCTGTAGTTGTAACCAACCTATGACTTGGTCACATACTCATGTAACTGAGCTAATAGGCCTCTATCTCTTTTAAGAGATGCTGAAGATGTTTTAACATAAATTCTTTCAATGATTTTCCTAGAGAGAGGATGTATCTGTGAGATCCAGATGCATCCTCATATTGTTTATGCTTTCAACATTAGTCAGAGAGATTCTATTTTCCAGGAAGTCCAAAAGAATGAAATTTCAGAGTAAGACCATATAAGCCCTTCATCGTCAGAGAATGGAGACCGTGGTTCTTGCTAGAGTCCTGTCAGAGGCATGGTGATAATCAATGTGGGAGAAAAGAAACAAAACTATGGTTGAAATCAACCATGAACTTTTTTCTCTTTTTTTTGGCTATTCTGGGTCTTGGGGCTTTTGTTGCATGCAGGCTTTCTCTAGTTGCTGCAAGCAGGGGCCACTCTAGTACAAGGGCTTCTCATTGTGGTGGCTTCTCTTGTTGCAGAGCACAGACTCTAGAGTGTATGAATTTCAGTAGTTGTGGCACACAGGGTTAGTTGTCCCACGGCATATGGGATCTGCCTGGACCAGGGATCGAATCTGTGTCCCTTGCATTGGCAGGCAGGCTCTTCACTACTGGACCACCTGAGAAGTCCCCACATTGAGCTTTTAAAGGTTTTTTTTGTCTTAGATAAACACTTGAGAGTAAACTTTACTTTAGTTATCCCCATCTTTCAGACAGATACACTTTTAATGAAACATCTAAGATTGCTTGGTCCTGTATCTGATGCTTATCAATGAATTTGACCAGTAGTTCCCCTACTGGACTGAGTAGTGCTCTTACTCTCATCAACTATCTGTATAATGTGCCATTTTCCTCTGTGTCAAGAATCATAAATATTTTCTAAGGCATGGGATTTCCTGTAATACTTTAGCCCAGCCAGCATTTTACCTTTCTGCTGGCATTCCAATGATATGTGTCTGTTATCTTTTAGAAAACACAATAGATGTTGATTCATTTTATCTGTATATTGTTGTTGTTCAGTTTCTCAGTTGTGTCTGACTCTTTGTAACCCCATGGACTGCAGCACGCCAGGCTTGCTTATCCTTCACTATCTGCTGGAGTTTGCTGAAAGTCAAGTCCACTGAGTCGGAGATGCCATCCAACCATCTCATCCTCTGTCGTCCCCTTCTCCTGCCCTCAGTCTTCCCAAGCATCAGGAAATGAGTCACCTCTTGGCATCAAGTGGCCAAAGTGTTGGAGTTTCAACTTCAGCATCAGTCCTTCCAATGAATATTCAGGTCTGATCTCCTTTAGGAT